ATGCAAGTCAATACATTAATAACAGTGACTGCAGCTTGGAGAGAATGAGAAATGGGAGAAGGGAGAGGTTATAAATGCAAAAAGATTAATGAAATACACACTGAGCTCTCTGTCTGAAGGGCAAGATATCATTACTGTTATCATTGGACAAACATGCGGTACTGTATTTCTTTTGTTTTAAACACCCAAATAAGGACTTCTACCTCACCCACTTTGGCTTGCTGTAAAACGTATTGTGATTGTGTGAGTGTGCATGTGATGCATCTATTATTTGCTGAAAAGTTTGCCTTTGTCTCCATTCCAGCTCTACTTGTTCTGTTTTGTCTCCAGTTATCTGCTCATTCATCCCAACTCTTCTTGTGTTTTACTTGGCTAACCTTTTAGTACTTCTGCCAGGCCTCTGGTTTCTATCTGATTTAAATTAACCCTTTGTGGAAACTTTGCACTGTGTGTTATGACTATAATCTTTAGTGAATTATACCAGATTGGTAGGACTTGGATGCACAAAGAAGAGATTTTTTTAAACAATCGTTGGCACATTGATCACCAGACCCCATTAACACATACAAAACACTTAATATCAAAAGTGTTGGCAAAGAGTTGACTTTTTTAATTCATATTCCCTCTTACCTTGTATTTCCTAATGCCCTTCTCTTAAGTCATTGTCCTGATAAACCATTTTGAGGCTTCTCTGGTTGCTTTTAAGCTTGGGAATTGGTTTGTATATGCTTGATTAGCTACAGAATGATAGTTTTGCATTAAATTCCCCACCAGCTGGCCCCAAAAACCATCTGTTGTCACTTAATCACATCTACGAGACACAATGGTAGTTTGGATGATCTAAATGATGTAGGGAGCATGCTTGGCAAGTTTGGGGTGGTAACAGCAGCCGGTTAGTTTAAACCTTTTCTGTTTCCTTCATCTTCTCACAAAAGAGAGTCTAAGTCTTGCTTTGTTTAGTTAAAAGGAGAACAATACTACATTTTTTTTTTTAAAAGAGCTCCAGGAATGTCTGACTTAAAGCAAATTAGGCATTTATTGAATAGAATAATATGCTCATTGTTTGGAGAATAAATGTTATAACAGATCTATATTTACCTGTTAACATAAGAACCATGCAAGGGTGTAAAGCATCATGAGCTCTAATACAAATTTTTTTAGGTTGACTTGAGTGTCCGCGGAACTTTAGATTTGTAAAACATGACTTCCTACCACCTTTGGCTACAATTATGATGTGGCATATAGGATCACTTCTGTTAGTGGTAGGGCAACAGGCTTTGCTACCACAGAGAATAAGGGAGAGACATACTACATACATCACTGTTGGAGAACTGCAGCACAGAGGCCTCTTGTTCGCTGCGCCGATACCTGACCTAATTGCTTACTTCACTCACCTGCCTAACTCTACCCTGTTGTTAATTTTCTCCCATCTTATCCACCTGCACTTGCTGCTTTATATTCGGCTCAGCTCAGCTATCTGGGCCAGATCATTATACATATATGTTTGTTTGTTCGCTTTTAGTTACGTTTTTGGCTCGGGGGTGTTTAAAGCTCTGTAGTCCTGGTTTTTATCCACTTAGCGTGCTCTGTTCCTGTTTTGCCTTGGTGAAGGGAGCCAGTTTAAAGCTCTGCAGTTTTCCTGGTGTCGTGTCTTGTTCTGCGCCTCAGCTGAGCCTGCCTGTCTGCATCCAAACGTGTCTGCCTGAACTCTGTTGGTGTCTTGGAATCATGAACCTGCCTGAACTATCTGTGGGATCATGGAACCCCAGATCTGTCTGTCCCGGTTCTGATCGGAACCCCTGACTGGGCTATGGACTGGATCTCCGAACCGTCCTGTTCCAAACTGTTTGCCTGACCTGGCTCGAACTCATGCTTGCTCACTGGGGCTACTGCATCGGGGACACTCTGGGCGGCTCCCATCTCATCTAGTTGGCAGTGCATCGGCTGGATTCTGCCTCATTCTGAGAGGATGGACATTTCTCCCTCAACCATAGTGCCAGTAATGGGTTGCGCCCCGCCTCCCCCCACAGCCACTGCATATCCGCAGATCCACAGCTCCACATGCAACATGTTATTTCTGTTTGTGTGATTAAACGTTTTGAACTTTCCCACTGTCTGGCCTGAATATTGGGTCCTACATTCTGGGTTTCATTAGAGGGCCATCATGGGGTCACAAAGCCTCCACAACAAATATTAAATATTTATTTTATTTGCAAAGCAGTTTTTGGAGAGGCACATGAGGAAAAAGCCTTTTCTATACCACCACCTCAAAATTTAAACAGGTTAAGTTTTCTACAGCTGAGACTTTTCCTGCAACAGTGTGCTACAGAGTCAGATGAGATCAAAGCTACCTTCACACCAGGCAGATTTACCTGTTATCCCTATGTACAGGTGTACAACAGCCGCAACGCAACGCAAAAAAGATGTAACAGACTTGTTGCCAGCTATGTTTAAGGTTTCCATTTTGGCACTTCCACCAATACGGGAACAATGCGACACAGTTGTAATTGGAAAATCTGAACTTTTGCATCGTGACGATCAATTACGGACTGGATGTGGTTGTTACATGGGGTGAAGGAAGCCATATGTGACTTACTTCTTTTCAATTAAAACTGGAAGATAGCAAAAAAAACTATAGCGACAAAGGTTGTGGTGCTGAATCTCTAAAGAGATTTGTTGGTGTCTTTTAAAAAATCTGTTTTAATTTTGACCTGGGAGGTCTGTTAAATCTTTCATCCTTCATCCTGCTCTTCTAGCTCCAGGGCGAGGCAGAGCCAGTTGCCTCTGACCCACTCTGGTGCTTCTCTGATGAGATTTTGCTCTGATCTCCCGCTGCTACTGTTTGAGCGGCAGAACACCACCTCACTTTGTCCAAGCAATTCCTCTCTAAAGCAGGATGCTTCCAGGTTCTGGTCAGACAGGAGCACAGTGGAAAGGGTCAGCAATCCAGGCTGTGTAACTTAAAGGTCAGAGTGTGTCCAGTTTAAGCCAGAGCGAAAGACATAGTTTAGATGTTTCTGCTAAAAAACGTATCAATTCATCTTAATTTGTACCTGTGAGATAAAATCTGACAAGGTAATCTGCATTTCTTCTTGTCAATGATTGAAAGCATATAGTTTGTCAGGGTGCATTTGCTCATGCCTGAGCAGAACAAGAACTGTGAACAATTACCTATTAAACCTTCCATTTTGCAGAACTGAAAGCAAGTTGCATATTAAATTAAATTCAAAAATATTTTACCAATCTCAAAGGAAAAACAAATCAATTCTGAATTTATTTATTTTTTTGTTAAACAAAGCTGTCCACAAGTGAACTCTTAACTTAAGGTGCAGTATCAAAGACATACAACTGTCCAAAGAAACTCTACAGACATACTTTAATAAATCTTCAATCTCTGTGACTTATCTCATGACCTCCATTTAAATTATTTACTTACTGAAAGACCTCTTCAGTCTAGGTTTGCAATCTTTCACTGACCCAATGGGGTTGACATCTACTTCCTGGCCAGGATGAGGGAAACTTGGGGAATTTATAAGTGAAAAACTCTGGGAACACTATAGAAACTGGCTGTGGACCAGCCATGTCCTCCATAGAGGAAAAGAAAACCTTTGACCTCATGTAATGCCCCCCCCTTCAACATCCAACCACCCCCATACTCAACCATCAATTCACCTCAAAACGACAGGCTTTAATAATACACTTCTGAGACTACCGGTTGTACTCATCTGTTTGAATTTACAATGCTTATTTTTTGTAATAGAGTTCAACAATGTATCCGATGCTTTAAATATATTCCCCTGGAGATCCTTTCAGCAACATCTGGAGCACATCTCCCCTAAGCTACTGTCCTTATGTCTTTTAGTCATCCAGAGCTTCTCTCCCTACATGGTGAAGGCCAGGGGGAGGGCAGCTGTGCTGGAGAATAGCTATGCATGGCATTTGTTTCACTTTCTAGCCTGATAAAAATGATTCTGTCTTTTATGCAGTAAGTTGAATGCTTAAAGATGCATACGCCTCAACATTTAGTTTTGGTTTATATTGCATATTCTGATTGTCACAATGTTAGGTGTTTTATTGTCATATGAGATGAATCCCTAGTTAATCTCAAACGCCTTATTTTGCCTCATATTCTTATGCAATTTGGTTTCCCGTCTTTACTTATAATACGAAAGTCCTGCCAAATAAAACTGTCTTGCTGAAGTAGAATAAGCCTTTCCAAATGTACCATATGCCGCTTTAAAATCAATATAGTTGTTTATCATTAAAGGTTCCAGTGCAAGTTGCCAATGCCAAAGTGTTTTAATGCACGTCTAATGTAGATGGATGGTCATTACCAGCCTTGGCCACATTAAAAATCCATAATCTCAAAAACAGAACAAACTGTTTATCCATAACATATCTAAAGATGATGCTCATAGCTGCTCCAATGATCAAGGTGCCGCACAAAAAGCATCACCTTGATCATTTCATACGGCATCTGGTTTAGAAAAGGCGAACTGTTTATTAGCTAAGCGGAACAGAATAGTAAGTAACGATGCAGCGCTACAATGCTGATATTGCTGTATTGACCGATCCCAATATTGACCCGATACAATATTAACATGAATCCTTCATATTTTTATTTGTGATATTATAGTGTACAATAATAGAAAACTCTTAATTATTAACATCAGGTCTAAGAACAACTGACCCATTTCTTATTCCACAAAAATAAAACAGAATAGAATTAAACTTAAAAAGCAACTAAATATACTTTGCATCTACCCAAAAGCGCTATACAGGATATAACTAGTTATTTACATGTGTACAGAATCTATGTATGTAAAGTTGGAAACCAGTTGGTAGAACCAGTTAAGGAGACGTTGCATCATTAAAAAAACATCTTATCTTTAACTTTCAACAGCTTTAATATTATTTTTCTTTCCTTTTGTAAAGTACGCAGAAGTTAACACATCACAGAATAATTTTGGTTAAGAAAAAATTGTGTTTGTTGTACTTACTGTCAAGGCATGGAGCGCACACAGTCTGTTTGGCTTCGCAGGGTGAGACAACGCCCTCGCCGGGCGGACACTGCTTGCAGCATTGTCCACTGGTCGTATTCTTGCCCGACGGACAAGAATTCACAGAGGCTCTGGAATCAGCCTGAAATTCAAGAAAAAAATGTCAAGCAAAACCCTTACATACATTTAGCTGTGAAAGCATAATATTATAAAAATGTGCGAGTTGCACCATAAGGAGAGGTGTAAACAGTGTTCTTCCAAAAGGCAGCTGAGAGAGATATAATTTTTTTTTTTTTAGAAGAATATGCAACAGAGAAATAAATACAAAAAAATGCTAGACCTTCCACCAATGTCTGTCTTTCTTTCTTTATTTCCTTTGTTAAATATTGGGTATCTGATAATCAGATATCCAGGCCTGGAAAAAATATAAACATTTCAGCTATTTTCTCAATTTCCCATGCTCTTCTGAAAAACAAAACTGCGTATGATAATCTGGCTTATAAACATAGCTGAGATAATCAGCAGAGGACAAATTTATCTCTGTGGTTGAACTGATCTCAACCTCAAGAAAAAATTACTTTTTATGGAGAAAATGTGGTAAAACAAAAAGTTTCCATTGAGATGGTTTAGGCATAAACCCACAGTGTATAAAGTCATCTTAATTTACTGCTATTTTTAATATCAAACTAAACAAGAACATTGCATTATAACTTTTCTTTGAAGTTGGATAAGATGAAAGAGAAGTAATTTGATTAAAATCAGACTTTTATAGCTCTTCTAAACTGAATATAATAATGTACGATACTAGTATTAAAACCACTCTACTGTTTGGTTTTGAAAGGGTTAATGCTTCATAAAACTTTAGGCCAGCTCAGCATATGTATTTATACCTGTAAGTGAGAGGCTGTAAACAAAGCCAAACAATAACACATCCATACCAAGTTAAGTCACTCTGCTCTTCAAGCATTCTTTAGTGTGACCCGCTGAGTGCTTTATCTTAGCTGTTGACAGGAAGAGATGTTTGTGCGTGCCTCTGCTTATGCATAAATGCATGAGAATTACAAACCCTTGCACACTCATGCCTGAATGTTGAAATTCCCACATTTGTGTAAAAACTTTACCTGTGATCTTTGACAGCATCCAGCCACTAAACCTGTCTCACACCATGTTTTTAAAATTCTTATCTAAGAAACGACTCAATTCCCTCACCAAACGCAGATAGGAGCAGTGATAAGTTTCAGATCTGATTGTACTACTCTACGGTTACAACAGGATGGTTAAGAGTCAGACTGCCGTTTCTCCTCAGTAGTTTCCCAATGTGTCTCCCACTCCATGGAACAGGGGCCAACAGAAAACTGTTTTCATCTAAGTTTAAAGCATGCCTCATCCAGTGAGCAACATGTGAGTCAGCTTGTTCCCCACTGGGGCGAATTTGGTTTGAGGCGCATCGTAGGCAAGTTAATTGCATTTAGAGGGATGTGCGTACACATGTAGGTTTTAAGTGAAGGAGGTACACTCTGCATAAATCGTCAGGGTTCAGGTGTGTGTGGAATGTAGCTGACAGGGGAGAGGAGCTACAGAAAAAAAAAAAACAAGCATCCCCTCAGGCACCTCTGAGTCAGCTTATGTGTGTTTCTACATCTGTGGGAGTGTGCAAAAGTGAGCATGCACTCACACAACCTTAACCCTGCTGGGCCTTTGGTCTCCTCAACTTGGAAGTTTGACAGTAAGTACCACAAGATTCCTTTTCTGTTTAAGGATGCACAATGCAGGTAGTGTAAAACTCTAATTACTGTATGACCCAGAATACTAGAGATCTCTTCAATTAAGATGATCAAAAAGATTATTAAGTCTATACAGTTATATCTTCTTACAATGTTTAAGATCTGTTGCTTAAAACACCACTGACTATGCCCTAGAAATGGTACCTTTTAAAAGTGCTTGTTTTGAATTTTGCTTTTTCTTGTCATAGAAAGGTCATGTGACCAAAAAAAAAAAAAAATGGTAGGCTGGAATATTGCATCAGGCAACACACCACACCCTGGATCACAGGAATCTGGGCCAAATGAAAAGACAAAATTAGTGATATATATACGTATATATATATATATATATATATATATATATATATATATATATATATATATATATATATATATATATATATATATATATATATATATATATATTAGAACCAAGATACACATGTAGAACAGTACAGACTTTAGCTGCCCGGGTTTTGGTCAGAATTTATAAAAAGAAAATAGACCATGATCAAGAACAGCAATTTTGAGAGAAATTCAGGGTGTTAAACCAAAGCAAGCTCAAAGGACTGATATGCAAGATATGCAAAAAAAATATCAAACTTGATTGAGCAAATTACTGTAACTAATGGAACCATGATCTCAGCACTCTAGAACATATAAATGTAATCTTAATCAAACCTGAGATATGCAGCAGACATTTATCCAAATCAGACTAGCAAATCCAAATCAAAGAATCAAAAATAAAAGGTGGTTTAGACAAAGGCTCCTAATTAGAGATACCTAATTAGGCATACTCTCTTTATAGGAATAGGGTTGTACATGTGACATTTTTTTTAAGTGAAAAGGGCGGGTTTGTTCAAAAATTCGCAAAAATCATCCACTATACCTTTAAGAGTGTTTCTTGTCTTCCACTGATCTTTTCCTCATTTTTTTCCAAACTTGCAGCACTTTCTTCATTACTATACAAGTTTACAAAAGTAGACATTAAAATGTGGATCAAAGCCACATCCTTTATGGTTCCCCTCGACAGCCCCACATACAACACAAATACACACACATCTGCACCAGCTTGCTGACAAACCTCCCATGATGTGAACGAACCTGTTTTAAAAGGACTCTTAAAATGACTCCAGCATTTGGTATTAGCCTTTTTTTTTCTTTGACATGTTCTTAGCTTCAGGTGTAGGCGCAACAGAACATCGCCTCATACACCAACACTGAGGTTAAATATATCAGCTAGCTAATAACTGATGATCTGAGCAAAAGGATTATTAAAATTATGTACTTTGAGCAAATTTCACGTTAAAGGAGAAAAAAAAAAGGATGTACGCCTTTTTTAACAAGTTGAAGCTCGACTTTCCTAGTTCTATAAGCCAGTTTTGATGTGGGGTGATGAGCTGATTTCCTCGATGATGGAACAATATGTACACTACTTATAAATGCGAAGCCTGGAAAGAAATTCCCTGGGATGTTAGGACAGAATTTTGGTGCTATGATGGACCCTACAACTGCCTGACCTCAGAACATGTTGGACATGTCAACAAAATTGTTGGAACTGAAAAAAGCTGTCACAAAAAACTTGAATCTGACAAAAGTATTGATAAATAAAAATTCTATGAAAATAAATCAATGAAAGTCAGACTTTGCTTTTCAACCATGCTGCTTTTCAACCATGCTCCGACATAATGATTTAAAAATATAAACAGGCCTGTACAAAAAAAAGACTAAAAGACTAAGTAATGTGACCAAAGGGACATGTTAAAATAAGGTGTGTCCAATGATTAGCATCACAGGTGTCTGTGTTCTTATAATCAGTTAGTGTGCCTTTAAATAAGGGGTATAGGGGGGTCACTGTGCTGTTTGGTAATATGGTGTGTACCACACTCAAAATGGACCGGAGGAAGCAAAGTTGTCTCAGGAGATTAGAGAGAAACTTTTAGACAAGCATGTTAAGGGTAAAGGCTATTAGACCATATCCAAGCAGCTTGATGCTTCTGTGACTAGTTGCACATATTGTTTTGAAATTTGGGATCCGTTGGACTATAGCCAACCTTCTTAGATGTGGCCACAGTAGTAAAATTGATGACCAATCAAAGGGAAAGATAATATGCAAATAAAACAAGAAAAAAAATCTGAAGAGATAAAGTTAAATTTCCAAATTGACGATCATCAGTGTCAGATCGCATCATCCAACATTATTTAGGCCAAAGTATCTTAATGTGAAACAACTGAGAAGGACACCATTGTTTTGGCAATATATGTTAATTTTTGGCCGCCCGATATATACCCACCTTTCTGTTCCTAGTATTGATTTGAAAAAAATTAATAAATAGACCACATGAGATAGCACTATGGAGCCATTTTGCTGTGCAGTGCAGCACCATATTTGTAGATGAGGCAGTCACAGTCGAAGACGTGGACTAACTCAAACCCCCAAAATCAAGGATACCAAAATAAATACACAATCAATATCATCTGATGAACATATATAGAGCACATGCTTTTTTATCTATACATTTAATTATGATAGATGGAAAAAAATATCACAATATAAAGAGATATCGCAATATTGTGATAACATCGTACCATGTCCGAGGTATTGTGACATGTATCGTATCGCAACACCCATGCCAATACTCACCCATAGTTGGACACAAACAATAAAAAGCCAGACTGCAATTCAGAAGTACATCTTGACAAGCCACAATACTTATGCAAAAAGTGTCCTATGGACAGTTGAGACAAAAATTTTATTTTTCCACTCTGAGTTCACAGAAGGGAAAACATCCTGATTCATCTGGCAGAGGATGTCTTAAATCTCTGCAGCGTACAATGAAACCTCAAGACTACCAGGGGATTCTATAGAGAAATGCGTCAGAAACCTTGGTATCAGTTGCAGGTCAACAGGATTATGACCCAAAACACACAGCTAAAAACATCCAAGAACGACTGTAAGGAAACCACTGGACCAGTCTAAAGTGGCCTTCTATGAGCCCTGATCTAAAACCTATTGAGCATCTGCAGGGGGCTGAAACATGCCGTCTGGAAAAGGCAGCCTTCGAACTTTGTTCATGAGGAGTGGACCAAAATACCTGCTGAGAGGAGCTGCAGTCTCATTGATAGCTACAGAAATCATTTGATCACAGTGATTGCCTCAAAAGGTTGTGCAACAAGATTTTCATTAAGAGGAAACATCATTTTTGTCCAGACTTGTTTTATGAGTTTATTCTTTTCAAGTAATTCTGTTGAAGCATGGTTAAAAAACAATGTCTGACTTTTATTTGTCATTTTTTTAATGTTCATTTATACTTTTGTCAGGTTCAAGTTATTTTAGTAACATTGTAGTTTCTTTTTTCATTAAACAATGACAAATAATTTTTATCTACGTGTGTTAAGGCATACACCTTTATGTATTAATATATATTTTCATGCATCTGTTGCATTGTTATGCTTACCTAAATCTAAGGTGCTGTCAAAGGCTAATGAGAATGCAAAAAACAAAATGTATGATTTCGATAAAATCAGTTTTATTGATTTAGCTTTCAGTGCATAATAACACAGATGAAGCTTGATCAGATTTTGGAGTATGCAACTGTGCTGACAGTGGAAAGAGGGAAAGAGAAAATCTCAAAAACAGAGAAATGTGTGTTAATATAAAACCGTCCAAAAGGTAAGGAGAAAAGGTCAAGAATTTTAGGTCACCCTCCTTCTGCTACAGAGCAGAAAACGTGGAACTGTAGCTTCCACTGGTGGAATGATTAATAGGAGTCTCTGCCCCAATTGTGTATGTCCCTGACTGACAACACAAACACATCTACCCTCCAAACACTGTGCATCCAGGCACATAAATGTTTGTGCCATTTCTTGTCCTTATTTAGACAATAGAAATACAACTTTCAGAGCCCATAAACAGCAGCCACCTTCATTCTAAAGATGGATTCTTAAGCATAGGCTAATATAACAAGTATATCCTGACTCAATATGGGCATCAACAAATATTTTAGATGAAAATGCTTTAATTAAGCTAAATTGCAAACAGTTTATTTAATATTGCCAAATACTCAGATGTGTTGCTATTTTTATCGGCAGGTATCCTTGACCCAGTATTCCTCTGTTTAAGCGTCTTTTTTTTTCTTTTAACAAAAAACCACTAACTGATAACATCCTTGGTATCCATAGATAAAAAGACTGGCTCAGGGCTACTGCTGCCTTTCATTCAGTTTTCTTTATTTTCTATCATTATAGAGGGCAGGTCTGTGTTAACCCATATTTGTTCTTTTTAGTGACTATCTGCTTTTTTCCTTTTCAGCCACAATTATTCACTTAAAATTAGCAGTATATATTTGTAGGATTCTTCCTGCATTAAGGGGGTTTCTCTCCACTGTCGCCACATGTTTGCTCACTATAAGAACCAACTGAAAAGACAAGAACTCAACACTACTGGTTCAACTTAATTTGGTAGATAATTCTTTTACTTTTTATCAATCACTGCATGTCTATTTAAAAACTAAAATCTTTTTTTATATAGTAGTGTTAGCTTAGTTTTTTTTTTTTTTTACTGTGAACAGTGAACTCATACTTTTAATCTGTTGTAAAACATTGAAAAGATGACTTTGTGGGTTTGGCAGCAAAGCTAATCATGAAGTTTGAAGAGCAAAAATACATAAAAAATGTAGCAATTTGTTTCTTGTATTAGAATAACAGATAAATTAGAAAATAGTTAATATCTCTAATATGTTAGAGAATGGTCATAACTAAAACAGCTTGTTATCTTCTACTTATGCCAGACACCAGTTTGGTCTATTTTCAAACAGTATTTTCCATTCATTGTCTGTGTCCTTCTGTTTGGCAAAACAGCTTGCTCAAGCTGGTCCATAAAGGATTTTGTGGGGCTGAGGCTATAAGTCCAGAAATATAATTCTATTTTCTCTGATTCTATGATTTACATCTGAGGATCATTTATGGTCCCCATGTGAGTGGAGATGGTATGTGGAAGCAGAATCCCATCTTAATATTAGATTAAATTAGATTCAACTTTATTGTCATTACACAGGTACAGGTACAAGGCAACGAAATGCAGTTTAGGTCTAACCAGAAGTGCAATAGCAGCAATTGCAGAATAAATAATGGTTCCATAAGTACTGGACATGGGTTTCTACTGAATAAATATAGAGAGGAATACCATTATAAACAGAATTTTACTGATAGATTTGTCCTATGAATATTATGTATAGATAGTGTTATGAACTAAATTTACAGCTGGATATGTACCGAATATAATATACAGGTGGATATTACTATAAATAGGGTTTTTATCGATATCTACAATAGCACAATATACATATATCACACTGCATTGAGGGTGTCTTCTTTAATAGCAGGTCTTGGCTTTCCAATGAGAGCCATCACCCCATAGCATCACCCTGCCTCCACCAAAAGTGGCTCATTTTTAGAAGAGTGAATTTCAGTGGCACATCCAATAGATTGTCTTCATATAAATGCAGGACACTGTAAGAGGAAGTCCAAAGTATATAAGAAACATTGTTAAAATAAAAGTTCCTTATGTTTTGTGCCAGATCCATTTTTATTATTTATGAGATGAACTCACTTTAAAAAATCAAGGATATAATCAATGCACAATGGGCATTATGGATTTCACAAAAGAAAATTAATACTGCTGAATCATCACTGCTGAACAATGACAACGGAGATGCAAAAGACCATAAGATGGAGAGGTAAAAGAAGAGGAGGAAGATTGAGGAGGAGGAGGAGGAGAAAGGTCCAACACCTATCAATATTGCATGTGCTGAGCCAGCAAATTGATGCTTAGCCATCTGTAGGAGCAGCTGCCATGTACTGTAGATGTACCAGGCTCCTAAATCAGGACCTCAACAACCTCATGAACACTGTCCGTGTGCTGTCACAAACTGGGAGATTTATTTCCTGGCTGGACCAGAAGGTAATTCAAAGGTATTATAAAACACAACTGTCAAGGCGGCTCCCTCTCCTGTTCTCCTGATGTTTGAAAAATGCCCTGCTACTTTTTTGGCTCTTGTGTAAGTGTTGATATGTGGTCATGTGACACTCTCTCTAAACGACAACGCACCTTTTATACCAACTGGACTAGATAAATTGGCATAAAGTGAGTAAATCAGGCCTTTTATGTAAATGTAGGCTTTATGGATTAGCTGCTCCACAGATTCCTCTGTTATTGTCCTTTTCTCTGTGGGAACACATGTAACTGAGACGGGTGGAACTACAGCTCCATGCACCAATCTGAGCTATAAAGTGTCAACCTGAAAGGCTGATCTGCTGCATGCATCCTGCTTTAACTTGCTGTCAATCTCAATCCTTCTCAAAACAGGACAGGTGCAAGCGCAAGAAGCAAAAAGGCACCATGGCGCATCACCAGGAGTTATAACACTATAATAACATTAAAAAAAAAATTAGGGTGTAAAATAAATTTAAATAAATTTGCAGTTAATTTGATCATGCTAAAATAATTTAAATGCTTTTTTCTGTTTTTCACAAACTCTATGATGCATAAATAAACTCTCCATAAAGGTCTGCTAAAGTTTAAAGCATCACAATATTGGTTACTCAACGCACTTAATTTGTACAAAAGGAGGAGGACACTTACCAGTCCAAGCAAAGCTGCAATCAAAACCAACTTCATCCTGTATCTCCCTTGCATATTTCTAGGAGCTTCAGAAAGCAGGTGCAAGAATAAAGCGGGGTGAAGTCTCAGCAACTTAGGGGGGAAGCAATCACGACTGTCATCGCTGCGTCTTCCCGATCCTATCTAGCTTTATATTCAAAGAGAATAAGAGAAATGAACTGTCCCAATAAAGAAGTCGTTTTAAAAGTAGCTCTGTGTATAAGGCGCCCCCTGCGCGCAGTTTACAATCCAGTCTGAGGGTCCAAATGACGCATGGAAAGGGTTTATCTGGCTCGGTGCGCCTCTTTTCCGCTGGGTTGGTTCATGTGGTTGAAACACTTCAGCTCTGTGCGCCTTCAGGGAAGGAGTCCTCTCCTATCCACGCCCACTCGGAGGACGCAGCTCGTTCAGTCTTTGACAACTCGCTCCAGGATGTTGTTGTTGATTCGGACAAACCGACAGAAATGCAACATAATACCAGTTAGATGGTGAATGCATTGTATGTGAGGTTTTTCCGCATATTGGGTCAGAATGATCTCCAAACATATATATATATATATATATATATATATATATATATATATATATATATATATATATATATATATATATATATATATATATATATAGAAATATATAAATAGAAATATATATAAATATATAAATATATAAATAGAAATATATATATTTCTATTTTTTTTTTTTTTTTTTTTGAAGTCATTATAACTGTATTTTTTCCTATATTTGCTCTTTACTGACTGTTGGTATGTGGCCTATTTTACTTTGAATAATGACCTTCTCTTAAACAGGTTCAGACAGCATGTTTTCTCATTTCTTATTTCTGTTCATGTGCTCTCTTCATCCTCTGACATGGGAGTTGGCTCAGAGTTTGTCTGCCTGGCTGTGTGTTTCCTGGACAGACCGCCTTTTACAGCTGCTTTTTGTATCTCTGCTTCTGTCTCCTTGAACCCCAGTCCGCGTCGGCAGATGGCCGCTCAGACTGAGCCTGGTTCTGCTGCAGGTTTCTTCCTGTTAATAGGGAGTTTTTCCTCTCCACTGTCGCTACAAGCATGCTTAGTGTGAGGGATTGCATTGGAATCAATGAGTCGATGCAATCAACTGGTTTTCCTTAGATAGAAAACATTGAATCAATCTGACAGTATGATCTGGTGAACTGTAAAGTGCCTTGAGATGACATGTGTTGTGAATTTGTGCTATATAAATAAAGTGAATTGAATTGTTCTGTGGTTCATGTATAGACGTTTCACAACAAAACAGGTTTCAGTGAAAACTCTTAACTAAGCAACTGAATCTCAACTAAAAACAACTAGATTTGAAACCAAATTTTATCTCAATAAGTTTAGAATGAGAAATTACCTTTTATACTAATTAAGAACAATTGGGATGTGCTTAAACCAATCCAAAATGAAAATCCAAGAGGCAAATAATACTCTATTTGGTAAAATAATATGTCATTAGATGATCATTAATTAGTAAAAAATCACTCTTAGTGCAATGGATCAATGTACTGAATAAAACAGATGAAATATACTGATATTTCAGTTATATTGTAATTTAAATTTACATTAAATTTTACATATTCTATAGATTCTGAAGCATTTGCTTAAAAAAATCACAAAGGTGAAGTAAATGTTTCGGATGGCAATGACTATCTGTAACATTTGACATCTGCTCATCTGTTTAAATTTCCTTTTCTTTTTCCTCATGACATAATTAGGTTAATGCCTAAAGACAGAGGGCAGATAAACTGAGCTCAGGAAGACTTCCCCCATCAGGAATGAATACACCATTTAGCAGGAAACCTGAGATCCACAGCAGCACAGATTTAAAAAGTCCGCTCTACCTCATTGTTGTCTTTCTGTATTGTATCTCTAATATCAATAATTTATGCGAAACGTCAAGAGAGCTGACATAAGATGAAATATTAGGAATATATGATAAAATATTTCTGCTTTAGGCTTTATGGGTTGATTAAGAAAGCTTCTTCTGAGCATTATAAACAACCAAATCTGACATTTATTTGCAACTGTTCCAGCTGTTCTGCAGCATTTTTTGCCACTTGCTCTCATACCCTTTAGCAAAATTCATTAAAACATGTTTTATGGCTGCATTTCCATCTCTTGTTGAGTTTTCCATGTTGTTGGTTTACTGTCCTTGACATTTGAACAGGAATAAACCTGTTAGTCTTCACCTAAAATGAGTTACGGGAAGATGATAGATCTTTCTACAGAGAGTTACTCCAGAGATCGTAAAAAAGATAAAATCTGTATTGCATTTGGTAGTTAGATAGACAGACGGACGGAAGAAGGACAGACGGAAGGATAGGTAGGTAAATAGATAATCTTTTTAAAAATGTACATGTTTCTCATGTAAATGTAGAAATTTTTTTAAAAATCACATTCCCCATGCTAAAAAGCCTTCAAAATATGTGTTTCTAAGTATAAGACACTTAATGTTATTATCTATTCTTTGCATACCTTTTAATGCACAAGAAATCCCATCCATCCATCCATCCATCCATCCATCCATCCATCCATCCATCCATCCATCCATCCATCCATCCATCCATCCATCTTCTCCCACTTACTGTATTCCATCAGGGTCTCAGTGGGCTGCTGCCTATCTCCAGCAGTCTATAGGCAAGAGGCGGGGTACACTTTGGAGATCTCGCCAGTCTGTCGCAGGGCAACATAGAGACACAACCATGCACACAAACAAACTCACACCTAAGTACAATTTAGAGAAGCCAATTAACCTAACAGTCATGTTTTTGGACTATGGGAGGAAGCCGGAGTACCCAGAGAAAACCCAGGCATGCACACAGAGAACAAGCAAACTCCATGCAGAAAGACGCCATGCACCTTCCAGCTGCAATGCAACAGTGCTACCCACTGCTCCACCATGCAGCCCTAAGAAATCCCAGTAATTAGTACATTTTCTTAAAAAGCTTTTAGAGGATCAGCTGATTAGGGTCTCTAGCACACAAAGGCCTCTTCACCTTTGTTAGTCTTAGAAACAGAAGAAGACAAGCTGTTCAGGTAGATAGATGTGTTTTGATAATCAGAAAACCCTCTTTAGAAGGTTGCTTTAAAGATAAAGTTGTGGATTTGTAAATATTTTTACTACAGTAACAAATGTGGTTTCAAGTAATTGAAACAAGATTATATTACTTTTTTGCTTGTTTTTTGTCAGCACATAGAAGGATATTAAGAAAATACATAAAGCAGGTCTCTATAACTAAAAGAGCAACATCCTGGGTTTACAATGTCCCCAAAAAATCTGTTTATTTTATGTTTTATGTACATATCCATAGCCGGGTCATTGATTGTGGACGTTTCAGTATCTCCTAACTTGATTACTACAGTCCAACATCCATGACAGTGTTTGCAGTATTTTTACAGCAGGAGGTTGACAGTGAAGCCTCAAAGATTACACTGTGATTTATAGAAACCCTGTCAGAACTAAGTGCTATGTGGGATGTGGGTTTACAACTGATGGGGAGGAAGAGAAAAAGCTCCTTTACTATTTGTAGATAAATAATTAATGAAAACAAAAACAGTGAAGAAAGTACCAAAATAGCTTATTAGGATATTAGAAATTTTTTTGTATTAAAGAATAAAGTTTAGATATTGTGAATATACTTTTAAAGTGTGAGCCAGAAAAAAAAAGGATGTTAAGAAGATACATTAACTGTTTTTATACTGTGTTGTAAACACATTTTTAAAAAAATCTATTTTAAGTCCTATTCATGACACATTTGATCTAAGTTTTGAGATCTTCCACTGATTATATAATTATTGATTACAGTTATCAAGGAAACAATAAAAGATTCAACCTAAATTTTAGGAACAAAGATTCTCAAAGAACGAGAAATCAAATATCACTGTCTTCAATGTAATGATTTAAGATCAAACCATGATCTTAAATCATTTTTTAAATCATCTTGGAGTTTAGGTGAAAAAATTATTGCTCAGCCATTGCTAAATGATTCTTGGTTCTTTCAGTCGTGAGCCAGATTTCATGACAAAAAGTGGGAATACACTGTATGTATAAACACAAAATTGTAGTAGAATATTGTTGATGTCAATGGAGTTTTAGTTTTACTTTTAGGAATTTTAGTTAACTCTTTTGCTGTTTAGTCACCACAATGTAAGACAAGCTGCTTCCTTCCTGTTTTATTTCAGACATTCTAAGATAACCACAACTACATCAACTCAAATTCATGTTCAAGATAAATTGCCAAAAAAGAGGCACAGGTTTTAAAAGAAATCATCTTGTATATCTGTTTTACTTTGTAAAAATAAGAATGCTAAAGCATAACCTTATCTTTTTCAGGTCTGAAATGACAGCTGTGCCATGCAAAGTCTCACAGTCACCATCTGCTCCAAGAGAGTTAATAGAGGATGGGTGGTCCATGGCAAACTAACTATCCTATCTAAGGTTTCAGTAAATGGATCCTGTTCTTTTATCAGAGCCATATATCTCAAGCCAAACTAAAACTATCAATTTGGGGGGGAAAAAAGATAATTTAACAGTATAATCTTAATTCAAGGATAAAGTAAATTCTGTCAGAATCATATGTAACTCTAATTTAACACATTTAGAAAATGCATGTCTGTTTTTTCTTTATTCACTTTACTGTTCCAGAAAGCTTTAGTGAATTATACGGTTAGTTTGATTAACTATATTACTCCACAAGACTGAGAAACAAGGATAAGCCCCATATTATATTATTTAATCCATATACTAAAACACTCCATTGCTATTTTCTTTGCTTTTTTATATGAAGTTTATTTAAGATTTTTACGTTTTCTGCATACACACCACATTATTCCAATGATCATTACCTCATTTTTACATTTACCGTGTAATATTTCTTAGAACCTTTTAGCTTTCCATCTAATTTTGTCTTTTCAGTGATTCATATCATCTGTTTGCACCTTGTTAGCGTATCACAACCCAGTTATATAACATCTCTATGTATGATAACTGTTTGTTTTTTTCAACTCCATCTCCAGAAAGTTCAACTGTCTCTCAAGCATCAGCTGCAGTGGAGAAGCATAAACAACTCTGGGCAACGTGATCCATGATTTTCTTTTGAGCTGGCCCTCTAATGTACTGTAATAGCTGCAGGGGCATCATATGACGAGCAGAGGAAGCCCTTGAATTACTCTGAGAGCACTCACACCAATAACTGGAGCAATATCATGTTGTGCGCAGTGCTGCACTGTTGTGATGGTTATATCCATATGATTTTGAAGAAAGTTCAACAAAACAATTGTTAGATCCTGAAAGCCCCTAATTGGTTAGGTTGACTCAGATCCTTT